TTTTTTTTTTTTTCATGAAGAAATTGAACTCGAAAGTAGAACTTGCTTTTGCTGGAACGGATTGTGTTCGGAGTTCGAGGGTCCACTGTAGTTGCATTCGTGCATATACGGATCGTATAGGGTAGGTAGGTCGGCACGGTGGCGAACCGAGACATTTTTCCCCGCGATCTATAAGCTCTGGACCTGACCGCGAACGATCGTAAATTTCGCGAAACAGAGAGCACGACTTTGACTCGCGACCTTGCTTATCGTACGCTCCTATGATACCGAGTGCATGTTTCACCGTGTTCGCTTTCAGATAGTTTGGTAATATACAGGGTGATATAAAAGCAAAGAGTTAACAATAATCGATGTAATATACTATAGTCGATACCGTGATTCGTTGGATTTCCAACGTTAATAGTAAATCTTGAATTAAAATTATAATTGATGACAAAACACAGTCACATCTTAGTAAAACTGTATCAATATTAATGTACATATATAAATGTTCGATGCAATTGTTTTAATGATTTATTCAAGACTAACTTATCTGAAATGAAATCATTGATCGAAGAGTCTATGATCGAGATTTTATCGCGCGAAGAGTGATCAAAAATTTCGTCGTTCGTTTTCTTAACATTTATTAACATTCGCTGATAGGTTATAGCAGAAAACGAGCCGGCTGGTGTAAAATGGCGGAGAGATACGAGCCTCGACGATAATAGATACGGTTTAGGTTAGGTTTAACCGGTCGTAATTGTTTTGCGTTCGCTCTTAATTGGGATTACTTGTTCGTTACGTCTCTTCCGAATGGGCAAGAGGGTATGAAGTTTTAATAAATGCTTTGATCGGACACGCTCCGCGGGGAAACGGGCAAAGAAAAGAAAAGAAGAAAAAACAAAATGTTCAATTCGTTGGTCAGCGTATACTAGCCAGCGTGGTCGTTAACAGAGTACACGAAAGCGAAGAATAATGGAATCAACATGTACTCATAAATCGGTCGTGAAGATAAAGCTTATATATATATTTTTTTTTTATTCCTTGTAACGCCAGTCTCTAAAGTATTACTCCTGCAATTATCAAACTCGTGTGTGTTAACACGAAAATATCAACTCAGTGTCATTGGAGATGACTATAAATTTAGGACAGGTATTTAACTTTTTTTTTTCTTGTATTTTGAGATAAATTAAACGAAAAGTTGCTAAATCCTTATTAAAATTCTAATTAAAAGTTAACATACTCGAACCTAATTAATCAGTAATTATTACTATAATACAAAATAATAGTGTAATCGTATACTAAAACATGATATATAATTACGAATAAAATATAACGTTAATAAAAACTAAATACTACAATAAAAGCAATTCATCTCAAGTCCCAAATTTAGAAATTTCCAAAAATCACCGACATAATTCTCATTAAAATTCAAATCCTATGAGCCGCGTTTTCACGAGTATGTTTCGTTCCGCAGGTCCCAACAGACAGGCTTTCCTCACCAGACCAGCAGTTCGACGATTTGTGGGCCAGATGGCAATAATTAGAATAAAGCTAGAATTGAATCGGCGGCGATGCTGAGGACGGTGTGCAGAAACGTGGCCTTTCGAAAGTGTTGACCCCGGCGAGCGGCGAAGATGCGTGCACAGATGCTTCCTCCTTAGAAAGCATTTTATACGTATGGAACAACGCTAATGCGATGGAGATTAGCTTAGCCTGGGTTCCCATGAACTATTTTTGAGCTTAATCGTTCGCGCTGATCTGCTGTTATATACGTACGTACGCCGCGGCCGAGGTTGTAACAGATAATTACTCCCGCGGCTAGGGAAGGGGTATAGATAGACGTTCCTGGATCGCTAATGAGCTTCTGGAATATTATCGATGCTCATGCTAGCGCTTATAACTGCTTTTCAACTGAGATTGTAAATTTTCCGTTGTTCACTGACTTCGAGGGAAAGATGCGCCGCCGATTATCTGCACAGCGTGTACATGATGCGTGTGTGTGAGTATAATGGCGTTTTAAGACTGACCGTTTAATTCGCCGCGAGTGGACTTGCCAACAGATCGAATAATTCGAACGTGTAATAGGTCTACGATCTAAGGAGCAAAGTCTATGTTTATTAAATTCTTCAGGGGCACGAGCGTTTGAAGGATTTCAGGTATTATTAAATAGCGTGCAAAATGCGAGATTCTACACGTACTCAGATTCTTCAGATAGATTATAATCAAGTAGATGCAGCTTTCAACGTAGCAATTTAACGTCAAACAGTACATCAAACAATTGTTTAATTTTTCTTTTAAAGTTCAACTCTGTTCGCAGCGTTCTTAAATTGGAGTTCTCTCACCTTCATTTACGCGAACCGAAGGAACTCAGAGAGGAAAAAATGCGGATCTTTCTTTCACTTTAAAAGTATGCACACGGTGAAAGTTCGTATGTTGAAGTTTCTTTTACAATTTTCAAATTAAGCGTGGACCTTATGGATGTTAAAGTTTAACTTCACCCACGAGGTCTCTCATTAATCATCGTTTGCATAAATCAAAGAAACTAGGGAGACGAATATTCCAAATATCTTTTCGGCTGTTCTCCATTCGTCACGAATGTTTCTCACATCGATACTCTTCGCTGTCAAGTTTTTGTAATTAGAGAGAGATTATAAAGAGATCAAACGAATCAGATGTTTTACAGAGTTTTCAATTTCCTCGCTCGGCGGTCACGCGCGATGATTCTCTCGGGTGGCAGGTGAAGGATTTGCAAGTCGTGTTTCTCCGATTTTTCTTTCTTTTCTAGCTGTCTAAAACCTTACCGAACGACAGCGGGATGGATGGTGCGTGCGCGCGTGGACGGGCGAATACACATTATTAAAATAGTTTTGCAGAACGCGATTTAATCGCAAAAATTACGAAAAATTACCGGCAAGGTAATAATACGTGACCGCATAATGAATTTAAAGTGATTCGTAACGCGATGCTGAGACCTCGGCGAACCACGTTGCGTGTTACATATATTATCGGTTCGGTTTTACGTTGTCCAATGAATAAACAATTAACTCTGCAGAATCGCACGAGTAATGTAAATTTATGATATTTAAATTTTAGTAAAATAGATGCAATGACGCACTGATTAGAATACTCATCTTGTGTTAAAAAAGAAAAAAAAAATGGGTAAATTAACAGGTGAAGCTAGTAAAATAATAAAATACACCGATTGTGAGAGAAATTAACAAACTGAAATAATTATTATTGCTCTCCATTCTCTATAATTAAGTGTTTTTTTATGAATGAAGAAAAGAACAAAAATATTTTTTTCATCGATTTCCAACATTGTTAAGAAATGAAGATACGGTTTCAAATTACTATTACATTATAATTATTTCAGAGACTTTTAAATATATATAAAATTAAGTTCCAAGCGATGGATCTACTTTCACGAAATTTTGTTACTTTCTGTCTGTTTAAAGATACAATTGTAAGAAATCAGAGCAGAGAGGACGAATTTTCAAGATGTCGAGACGCGTCGTAGCCAACCATCTCCCGTGCGAAAATTGAATTCTACGCGCGTAATAATTGATTCAGGAAGATAAGCAATTGCAAGAATCGCTAGACGGATGTTCCGTGCCCTTTTCGTTCGATTCAAGTAGGTAGAATCGCGTTGCAGGAATTCTTTATTCATTAAATGCCTCGCGGTAATTTTTTTTTATGCGATGAATTAACGAGCGCTGTTTATTGCGATAAATCATTAAGATTTATCGCGTCCGATATGTATGATTCATTCGGAACACTTGTGATCCCGTAGAAATTTTCGTGCTGTAATTTATACAAATTTGCGTTTGTTTTCCCATTTGTACCATCGAAACGCTAACTAACCAAAGTGCTCGTATGGTTTAGTTACAATACTGCACGAGGCACGACGAAGTTTTCCAAAATTTCTTAGGCGCGATTAAGAGTATAGTTACAATTGTAATGTATTCGACAAGGTTGAAACAAACGAAATTTATAGAGAAGTCAATTTTTAATCTTCAAACATTTATTATTATTTATTAGTATTTATTAATAATAAATTGTTAGACCATGGACGGCTATTTATATTAACTCTTAGAATTATTTTACAGAAGAAACGAAAAATATCCTCTCTCGATTTCTGATATTATGTTACGTTGCATTATAATAAATATACGGCTATCAAAATATATACACGAATATGAAGTGTGAAAAACGTGCGAATACAGTTGAACTTTGCAAAAAGAAAATTTTAAGATGGAATATATTCCAGTTTAAAGTCTTCTAGATAACAAAATCTATTTGTCCAATTTTTCCAGGCAACGAGGTCCTCTCGACAATAGCCCTGTTGGCATTCGACTCTTGCGCAATGAGAACATTGCAAACATTGAACCGAAGATGCCTCGACGAACTCGAAAAAAAAAAAAAAAATTACACGGCGAAAACTATTGCAACGTCGGAAGTGGCAATACCCGGGAAGCGTACGGTTCTCAAAGGGTTAATTGGGCATAGTAACTCTTCAGGTGACCAAGCTGCATGGGAGTGGAACGGAGGAAACCCAGTTTTATGCCTTGCATTAAAAGCACTATTACGTCTGTATCTTTATGTTGTATCAGGCTAATTTATAAATATGTAATCACGTATCTACGAACCCTACGGCCGTGGCATTACGTTAAATGCTATTTTCTTTTCTTTTTTTTTTTTTTTTTTTTTTTTTGCAGATACGTTATCGCGGACAATTTTATGCAACGAGCGGGGAGGAACACCATTGTCACGGAAATAAATGTTACGTAATAAGGATGAGTGGCAGACTCTTAATTGTTATTGCTACAGCTATATCGTACGTGTGTAATTGTATTTTTACGTATCGTTCAGAATTTCATTACGCTGTCGGCGAATCATTAATCGTATCTTGACGGTGAATTAATTAAGCGGCTTTCATACTCCGCCCAGACAGGTTTCTTTCTTTTCGAATTGACGTCAGGTTAGGTTAAAGTGACTTCTATCGACTCGACGTTCTCTTTTGATCATCTGAGGATCTAGTTTCTAGTCTGAGAAATTGTTAATTATCGTTCCTCTCCAGAAAAAAAGAGAAAAAAAATTTGTATCGAGAAATGGATTAAAATGTACACGTACAGTAAAAATGCTTTACTTTCTCTACATTTTTTACCTTTAGATTTACTCACTAACATGAGTAGATCATAATTCGAGATTACTGAACTCTACCATTAATACTACAATTACTAGAATGTTCGAAAAAAATTTATAATTTTTTTCTAGAAATATCTTGCATTTTTAAAGATTCGAACTGACGTTTCTCTTATGCTCTTCAGGGTGTTATAAACTAGTTCCTATCCTTTGCAGACGAATTTCTCCGACGTAAGTTTTTACAGTTGAATGTAATTTATGTTAATTTGTTAAAACGTATCAATCAATATAGAATTAATTTTACAAATTATAGAACATTTTTCAACGTTCGTTTCCCAGTACGTAATACAATTCGCGTCAATTCGTGACAATATTCGCGTTATTTTATTATGTACCTGTTCCGAATCGACTGCGGCTGACTCGGAACCCGAGCCTTCGTTGTACTCTCTGTCTCCAATCGCGTGTGACAAATTATTCCAGCGTCACATCCGGTACGCAAAAACACATACGAACCACCAACCCAGCCGATCCATCTATACACGCCCTGCACGTATAATATCGTCGCATTCTTTTCGACATTC